AAGCCATGACATGTACGAGTGTTAGTACCCGTCAGGTCGTTGCGGCGACGTGATCGTGCACGCGCGGCAGAACCGATTTGGGGGGCTGGAACACAAGAAGAATGCATGGATGACAATTCCGCATCTTCAGTGAGCGTGCTGCAACCCACAGGCGTATACTTCTCCGTTTCCCCTTCTCCCGCTCTTCGGGGAGAAGTGGGCTGAGGAGGAAGAGTGGTGGGAGGAGCGGAAGCAGGGTTCGCGCACTTGCATGTCGTGGCGTGGGAGGCATAGGATACGGTCAGCCTCCATCGCGGTTGAATTCGAAGAAGCATGCGGATCGATGACCTGGATTTTGGGGCCCCGCCACAAACCAATCCTTGGATGTGAGAAGGAGGAGGATAGGGGCATCAGGAGGAAGGAGGGAACCACATTGTCTGATTCCGCTGGCCCCTGGTGGGTGCGTCAGCTCCATCACGGTTCAGTAGGGATGTCCCTGCTTCTTCTCTGGTCGGCTCCCTCGTTTTTGTCCCTCTCTTGCTCTCTTGCTTTTGATCTCTCTCTCTCTCTCACTCTTGGTATATTGCTTGTTGTTTTTATTGTTCCCTCTCTCTCTCTCTCTCTTTCTCGCCCTCTTCCCTTCCTGCCGCCCTCCGCCTTCCTCTATTGGCAGTCAGAGTGAGGGGGTCGAATGGTCTTACACCATCCTTGGGTGCGTGGCTGAAGCTAGTTGGGGATTCTTGTTGTTGCCAAGTTGCCGTCGTCCTCGCCCGAGACCCGTTAGCGACCCACCCGCGACCCAACCGCGACTTGCCCGCAACCCACTCGCGACCCACCCACGCTGCTGAAAAGCCTTCGGCGAGCTCGTCGTGCAGCGTTCAACAAACTTTGGCGCCTGCGCCGGGCTCCTTTAAATTTACTTCCGAGTGCAGGCTGCCGACGACCCCCCACAGCTTTACCCTTGTCCGCAACTGCCGGGCGCTGCCCGAATAGGGGATCGACTACAGAATTGCTTCCCCCAGAAGTTCTCTTCCGTCGGGCTTACGACAAGCGCATAGACTGCTCCGCCGATCTACGGGGCACTCGGCGCATGCTCCGTTCCTTCGGCGGAAAGCTCGATTCTGGGGGCTGTAGTCGATCCCCCTCTCGAGCCGTGGCATTTGCTGCCTTGCCTTCGCTCGAGCCTGGCACCATCCAGCAACCGGACGGCCCGCGCGCTGCAGGCGCGCTTGCCTCCCCTCTGCAGGGACGCCGGCCGCTGCCGTCGGGGGCAGGGCTCGTTCGCGCGCTGGCTCCGGGGCCCTGTGGCTGAGGCGCTGGCGCTCGAGTGGGCGATCGACTTCGCAATGGCGGCATTCAAACTGGAAGAAGTGCATCGGCATGCAAATGTTGTTCTGCATCAGCGGGACCTGCGACGATGTCTCACAACTCTCTCTTCAGGAGTGGCTGTGCGCATGACGCATCCTGCCTCTGTGTGGAGAAGAAGTGAAGTCGTGGAGAGCATCCAGGGCTCCTTTCCCAGAAGACTCGGGTCCTCCAAACTAGCCCAGATCTCCGACGCACAGTTAGCTCGTTCCCTTTCCCACTGTTTGCTCACTGCGCTAACAGGAAGAACGACGCAGGCGGCACCAAGCGACAGTGGAACTGGTGCTTCAATGCTAATGAAACGTGGCTTTGACACTGGCGCATTTTCGCGCATGTGCGCATGGCTAATTCCACGGACCGCTACCATCGACGCCCTGTGCAAGGCGGCCAGCTGCCACCTCATCGCCAAATACATATGACCGCGCGGAGACAAGCGAACGCGCCCCCCCCCCATGCCTCGCAACATGGCCTCCACGCCAGGCGCTGCGAAAACTTCCCTAGCTGGCGGCACTCTGGTGCACGTCGTGGCCGAATCACTCGTCGGGTCGCGGTACAATGAGCGCCGCGACGTGCCTTTGTTATTCCGTTTGTCCACGAGCAAGGCGTGCACCCGCCGAGCAGAAGATTCCCGCCCGCCCGCGTCACCTCGTCTAGCACGGGCAACCACGCGTGCAGGCCGAGCTCTTCGCTAACGCTGCACACACACACACACACACACACACACACGCGCAAAAAAACAACGCGTGGACCGTACAGAGTCCTGGCGTTGCTTGCGCCAGATCGGGCTGTCAACAGGCCTGTTGCCGACTACTTGCAGAAGCTCTCGCGCCTGCACTGGCGAGATAGCTCTGACGGCAGACGCAGCAAGAAATCATACGTGAGCTTAGATATAATGCACTGCCAGACCCTACCCTGCGGAAAAGCGTGACGAAGCAACGACAGTACAGCCAAGACGCTGAAATAAGGAACAGTTAGGGCTCGATGTTCCTTACGTCCTTCCGCGGTTGTTCCTCTAGCCCTTCTCGTGCACCCAGGCTTTTTTGAAGCCGCAGAGGGGCTTCGTTCCTTATTTTGCTTTCCTTATTTCAGCAGCCCGACTGTGGCAATGCTTTGACCACTCGCTGCCTCGGCATGCGGGGGGGGTGGCTTTTGTTGGCGCCTAGCTGGATGCCAGTCCCCCCTCTAACCCCGAATTGCTGCGGCATGCCAGGGAAAAGCAAGAGAGGGAAGCATGGGAGAGATTAAAGCGAGGGGGTGCGCGGAGCTGGCGTTGCTTCGCCTTATCGAATCCGCGTTTGACGAGAAATCTCGGCGCTCTTCCTCGATTTGGGCCTGCAGAGCCCCAAGGCCATCAAACATGGGCCAAAGACGAAGACCAGGGTCGAGACCTCTGGGGCTGTGCGCCGAAAACAGAAGCGCACATCTTCGGACGTCTGGGCACCTCGCGCCCTCCTCCCTGGTCGAGGGCCACGTGAAGATCGCGGACTTCGGCTTCGCCAAGACGATCGCGTGCCCGGAGAGCGCGCGGCCGCCGCCCCTTCTGCCCGCGCGCGGAGCCCCGCTGCCCCCCCCCCCCCCCCTCGGGAAGGGTGCAGGCAGGAGCGGCGGCGGCGGCGGCGACGGCGGCGGCGGCGGCGGCGGCGGCGACGACGACGACGTTTCACGGCTGGGTGCGGTTCGAGAAGTTCGTCCGGGTGGGCCCCCGTCGGGGTGGTGGCCCCGGTCGGGGTGGTGGCCAGGTCGGAGAAGTTAGGCCGGGTGGGCCCCGGTCTGGGTGCGCGGGGCCTCCGAGCGCCAGGCGCGCGCACCGCGGCCGGGGCCGCCCAGGAGCCGGTCTGCTGCGGTGCGGCTCGCTGGCCGGGGCTCGTCTGCGGTCTGCTTCGCTGCGGACGTGGCCGAAATTCTGCGGGAGAGGCCACGCGGGGAAAGGGGGAAGGAGGAGGCGGAGGAGGAAAGGGACGGGGGACCCCACTGCGTGTCCTGGGCCGTCGCTGGTTTTTGCTCTCTGCCAGGTTCTGTGTATCGTGCGCGGAGGTCAGGAAAGCCTCCTCGAGGGGCAGCGGATTCTTGAGAGGTGGATTTGTTTGCCGAAAAAAAGGTCTGCTTCGCTGCGGCCTGGTTCACCGGCATCGGCCGGGGCCAACCAGGGCCAGGTGCGGCGATCCGATGTCGATTCGGGTCGATTCGCTAGCGATGCGATCCACTTCGGGCCCGATCCGGTCTCACAATTCGGTCCAGCTCTGGCCTGGCAGTTGGGGAGAGCGTCGGGAAGGCCCGCACTTGGTCGCAGGGGGCAGAAATTATACCAGGAGGATATCCTTTCGGATGGTTTGGCGCTGGCTCCCTCACCGCAACCCCGAGGCGGGGGTGGGCCCTGTCTGACTCTGCACGTGTCTCTGTCTCTGGGGGTAGATTGGGGAGGCCTTTCGGAAGCCTCTTGGAGGCGATTCTGGAGGTGTCTCAGGGGCGTCTTGGGGGCCTCTTGGGGCCTGATTCGGGCTTCTTTGAGGCCTCCTGGGGCTTCTGGGGGACCCTTGGGAGTGCTGCTAGCGGTCTCGGGGGTCATTTTGGGTCGGGGGGTGTGGAATATCAATTCCTCTTGGGGCCTTCGTGGGGCCGTTTTGGGGCGATCTTGAGGGCCTCTTGAGCCGTCTTGGGGCGTCGGAGGCCAGAACAACAACGAAAACGATAACGGATGTCTTGAGCGGCCCGAGGCAACAAGTGAAAATCCGCTTCACTAAAACAGCCCGAAGAATCCCCCCAACAATTCTAGTGATCCGAGAAATTGATTGATTCATTTCTGGCTAATTCCCAGATGTTACTTTCTTCCCGCCCGGATACTATTGCGCACTACCCCCTCAATCGCGTCCTACTCTCCTTTCCTGCCCCCCACCCTCCTCGGCCCTCCCTCTGCCCTTCGCCTTCCCTCCTCCTCTTCTGGCTCCTCCTCCTCCTCCTCCTCCTCCTCCTCCTCCCTGCCCGCCTCCCCCCCATTCGTGGCCACCCGTCTCGTCCGTGTCCCACTGCATCCTCACCACCCGCATCTCCCTCCTGCCCCTTTAACATTTTCCGCGTCCGTCTGTGCCCCATCTTCCTACGATTGCTCATCGTATTCTCTCCTGCTCCTCCTTCTTTCTCCTCCGATAGCCCTCGTCTTCCCCCCAGTCCTCATCACTGCCGTGACTCACCCCCGTCTTGCATATTCCCCCATTGTGCTGCTCCTCCTCCTTTTCCTTCTCATTATCCTGCCGCCCCCTCCCTGCTCCCCTCTCCTGCTCATCCCGCTCATCCTCCACTTCGTTATGCTTTTCCTCCACCCCCTCCTCCTCCTCCCTCCATCATCGCCCTCATCGTCCTCATCGCCCCTCCTCGTTCTCCTCCTCCGCCCCCTTCCTTCTTCTCCTCCACCCCTCGCCCTCCTTCTCACCCAGCCAGGTAGCATCCAGATGCGTCGACACTTAGTGTGGGAGAGTAGGAGGGGAAAGAAAGGAGCAGCAGGCGCAGGAGAAACGGATGAGGTGGAGGAGGAGGAGGAGGGGGAGCCAGAAGAGGCCCAAGAGTCGGAGGTCGAGGCTTTTCCGACCCCGGCAGCCCGGCCAGGTCCTCCCTGCTCGCTCACTTCTCCCCCCCTCGCGTTCCCTTCCCTCCCTCGGGCAATGGAATGGACGACCGTCTCCCGCGGCAGGCGCGGCCGCCCGAAGCAGGCTGGCAGCGCGGCGCTGGCGGCGGAGGTCCTCCGGAGCCTCTTCACCGCCAGCGGCGGGCGCGGCGGCGGGCAGCCGCTGGGCGCGCGGGAGCCCCGCCGGCCCGAGTGGTGCTGCACTGGCTGCTCCGCTACAAACTTCGAGGAGCGCCGGAGCTGCCGGCGCTGCGGCGCGGCGCGCCGCGGGGCAGCGGCCACTTGCCCCCCTCCGCCCCCTGCAGACTCTGGGGCGGACGCGAAGGCCGGGCTGGCGCAGCAGCCCACGACGAACGGGGCCGGGACCCTCGCGGATCGGCCCGGCTGGGGGAAATGCCGCCCACCCGCTCCGGAGGAGGCGGCCGCGGCGGCCGAGGCGAAGGCGGCTGCCATGGGCGCTTCCGCCGAACAGCTCCTCGCAGCGGGGCTCGGCACGGAGGCGCAGAAACTCCAGCGACAGGCTGCGGAGCAGCGGAAGCGGGCGGGCGCCGCTCCGCCCCCAGGCCGGCGCCTGGACCTCCTGGAGGGCTTCGTGGCGCGCGCCGGAGCCCGGGCGGAGAAGGCGGCGAAGGGCGCGGAGGCCGCGGAGCTCGCCCTCGCCCGCGCCCGGAGCACCGAGGAGGCACTGCAGAAAGAGCTGGCGGAGGGCATGGCCAAGCTCCAGCAACTGCGGGCCGAAACCGCCGCGGGAGAGGCCCCCGGGGAGGCGCCCGCCCTGGCGCTGGCGGCGCGGGAGCTCCTGCAGGCACTGGAGACCAGGGCCTTCGCGACAACGGGAGCCCCGGAACCCGTCCTGGCGGCGATGTGTGCCCAGAGGTGCAATCGCGCTTAAATTAAAGGGAGCGCTTATTTTTGGCCAAGTTCATTAATTTAAACGCCAACGCTTGTTTGACTCAAACATATGTAGTAGTAAAACGAAATGATTCGCGATGCGCATGTTCAGCGCAACTCTTGATGTGCGTCGTAGTGCTTTCGTGCGTCCGCGCCAGCGTCAGCGTGTCTGTCGCCACTAATTGGTTGCGTTGTGGCTTGAATTGCCGCGATGGTTGCATCCATAGGCTGCGTCGGAACCGTCGCTGCGCAGGCGCGGCGGAGTGGATGGGGGCACGTGATCGTCCACGGAGCATAACTCTCTGTGCACGTGGCCACGGACAATTAAACGTCGCATATGGTTTTAAAGCAGCAAGGAGGAGAGGAGACGGAGGAGGTAGGGAGCAGGTTTCGGCGCGGTGTCCCGCAGATAATTAACGGAAACAGGTTCAGCGTCAGCGGCATCGTGCAAGCGCATCCAACAAAAGCAGGCGACATAAATTTGAATCACGCCCTGTCTTTGTTATTGTGCGTTCTTGTCGTGCCAATCCTTTTCATTATTGTGATATCCCTCTTTCTACTTATATGTAGATCTCTATGTTATCATTATCTCTCTCTCTCTCTCTCTCTCCCTCTCTCTCTCTCTCTCTCTCTCTTTCTTTCTCTCTCTCTCTCTCTCTCTATCTATCTCTATCTCTTCGCTCCATCATGCCTTGCTCTCTCTCTCTCTCTGTGCCCCGGTTAGGTTATGGTTTGTTCCCTCTCTTTCCCTTTCTCTCTCTCTCTCTCTCTCACGCTCCTTGCATCACCGACGCTCGATGTATTTCCATCGTTCTCCGAACAGCGCTTGCACTTAGAAGATGCCACCCCTGGCTTCGGCAACTCAGTTCCGTTGGCGGTTCAACCACCGCCTGGTCACCATCTGCTTGCATTTTGGGCGTTGTTGCCCCCCCCCCGCGCTGCGGTTGCCATCGTTGTTTTGTGTCCGCCCTTCTTGTCTGAACCCCGCGTTCGGGCCAGTGCCCTGGCGGTCGCCGTCGCCGCCCGTCGCCGTCGCACCGCGGCCCCCCTGCCCCCGATTGCGCCGCAAAGGCGCGACGTGAATTTCAACGGCTTGCCAGTCCATCGCGGGTCACTCGTCCACAATGTACTCGTCGGTTGCACCGCATAGATTGCGCCACACATACGTTCGAACATTTAATTCGTAGTTTGCGCGCGCGGTGACATCAACGCAAGCGCCCGCGCCATAATTACGATGCTCATTCTGGCCAGGGATAAGGTCACATTACATCCCGATCGCCACGCTATGATGAGAGCCCCCTACGATTCTCCCGCATATACAATCGATGATCGGTGAGGCAACGCTTCGCAGACGCGGGCTGGAGCGGCTCAGGGGCTGCAGCAACCAGCGTAACATGTAATTCCGAAAAACAAGGAGCAATGAGCGAGGACAATGAGGAGGACGAGGATAGGGAGCGTAGCAACAGCAGTAGAAAGAGGGGTAGGCGAAGGAGGGGCAAGGCAAGAGAGCAAAGGATGAGGGGAGGGGGGAAGGACGGGGAGGGCACCAGGAGGATTAGGAGGAGGAGATGGATGACGACGCGCGGCGTGAACGATCCGCAAGGCTTGCAAGATAGCTTCGGCCCATGGTCGAGCGCGCCCGCTGCTAACGGCGTAAAGCGGCGACGAGGTAGAGAAGGAAGCGAAGGATGATGCGGGCCGAGGGAGAGGGGGAGGGGGGCCAGGAAGGATAACGCGTAGTGAACACGTCACAAAAAGGAAGCTCGGTGGGAGATGCCGCGCGATACTTTGCGCACGCACCGCCGCAATGCCTTCGCAAATGAGAGAATGTCAGATCCATCACCTTCTCTACGCTTAAACCGATGTTCATCCTCCTCACCCTCCCTCTCCCGAATCCTAGGGACATCGGCCCTCAATCTTAGTAAGGGCCAGCCCTCGAGTTAGACGCGGAATCGAGCTCAGCCCTCGCCCTGGCGGCGCCAGTTTCAGATCAGGCGAACTTGATTGTGAAGTTGATTTCTTCCGCCCTTTCCTGAATGCCGATGCCCCCGCCCCCCCCCGTCTCGGATTGCCCCCGTGCCGCCGAAGGCGCCGAGCTCCCAGGATGGCCGAAGGCCCGAAGAGGGCCTCTCGGGCTCAATTTTCCCGCATCGGTAAAATCGATGGGGGCTGGTCGAGGGGGGGGGGGGGGGCACCAGTGTCCTTCAACTCTACTGGAGTCACCGAGACCAGGTTGCCCGTCGTCGTTGCCCGCGCCCCTGGGGACGTAGCCTCCTCCGCCACGGGCACGGGCGCGACTGCGTCGCCATTGATGGCAGTCGGCGCGCTGCCTGAGGAGGAGCAGCAGCAGCAGCAGCAGAAGAGGGAGAAGACGACGAGGTGGAGGAGGGGGGCGCGGAAGAAGCGGTGGAGGAGGAAGTGGAGGGGGAGATGGAAGAGGACGAGGAGGAGGGGGGCGGAGGATGAGGAGGAGGAGGAGGAGGACGAGGAGGATGAGGATGATGATGAGGAGGAGGAGGAGGAGGAGGCAGAGGAAGAGAAGGTGGAAGGGGAGGGGGAGGACGACCATAGGAGGTGAAGGAGGAGGAGGAGGAGGAAGAAGGATCGAGGCCTTCCATCGTGATAGTCACATTGCGCTCCGTGGGATTCGGCGGCGGCGAAACCGAGGGGCCTCGGATCCATCGGCATTCCTGGAATTAGGGGGCAACAGTCGAGGGGGTTGCTTGCGCGCCATCTTGAGTTGTGAATGGCCACTGGCGCAGGGAGGAGTGGAGTGGAGTGGAGTGGAGTGGAATGGAGTGGAGTGGAGCGGGGTGGAGTGGAGTGGAGTGGAGTGGAGTGGAGTAGAGTGGAGGGTGGAGTGGAGGTTGGAGTGGAGGTGGGATCGAGTGGAGCGGAGTGGAGGTGGGAGTGGAGGTGGGAGGTGGGAGGTGGGATGTGGGAGGTGGGAGGTGGGAGTGGAGTGGGGTGGAGTTGAGTGGATTCTGCGAGCCCCCGCGAGCCTGTCAGGCGTCCGAGGGCCTTCCCAAACGTCTCCCATCCAGAATCAGTTGTCGCGCGCTGGTCCCGCCCCTGGCCTTGGCCATCTGCCCAGAGCGCCCTGCCGGGCTAAAAAACAAACGTCCGGGCTAATTAATATCCTGGAATGATTGGACTATCCTGCAAAATGCTTGCAACCAGGTCAAAATCTCACCCTCCAGGCCAATTTCCGGCCCAATCATGCTATTTCGTGTTGTGTTCTTCATTTTGAGCTTCAATCAGGCCTCTTTCGAAGCATTACATGCCAATTTCTAGCCTGACAGGTTAATTTTAACACTTGTTGTTAAATTCGGTAACCTGATCAGGCTAAATCGCACGTGCGTCGCGAGCGCAAAGCAAATTAGCCTGGCAACGCAAAAATAGCATTATCGGGTTGGGGTGTTTCCGTTCAAGCGAATCCAATTCAAGTCGCGTCCGCATTGACTCGTTGTCCTTGCTGTTATTCGCGCTCGGCCCTTTCACCCACCGCCACCCGCCCGCTACCCATCCGGCGACCTGCTCCCCCGCGATCTATCTCGCGGGGGCGTCTTGCTAGCAATCCCACGAACCAAACTTATCTATTTGCCCGCGACTCACCCCCGACCCGTCGCGCGAAGCTGACGGGGGGAGGCTGTTGAGTCATCTTAAAAAGTGACCACGCGGTCATCTTTCCATATGACGTTTTTTTTATGTGTTGTGTTATACGATGGCCGAAAAGGACGTAGATGACACCGAGCCCGATGAGCTTGCGAATGCCGTGCTCCTCGTTCCTAGAAGCACAACTTAAAACACAAAGCCTCGTCATCACCATCACCATCATCATCATGATTGGCATGTGTGCGTTCTGTCCTCACCAGGCGTGTCTCGACGCCCCTAAATGTGAGACCAAGAAAACGAGACACCTGAAGTTATATATATATATATATATGCCTCAGACAAGGGGGCCCGAGTGAAAACACAGTCGGTCCATATGTCCTTGCGGCATAACTGATGACGACGATGATGACGACGATTGTGATACCAATCATGATGATGGTGACGGTGATGACGAGGCTTTGTGTTTTAAGTTGCGCTTCTAATTCTGAGAAGCACGGTTTTCGCAAGCTCATTGGGCTCGGTGTCATCTACGTCCTTTTCAATCATCGCATAAAATGACTCATCTTGTCGGATGACACAACACATGAAAACCGTCATACCAAACTCACTTTTTAAACTGGTTGAGAATCCGCCCGATCAGCCAGCGCAACGGGTCGCGGGCCGGCCGCGAGGCAGCTATGCAGGTTTAGCCCGCTGCCCTTTCTTCACCAAGAACCCTTGCAGGACGAGTCGCCGGCGCGCGGGTCGCGGCGGGTCGGGGCCGACGGCGACGAACAACAAGAGCACCGAGACAAATTACCGCAATCCCGCCCGAGGAAACCCATTACAAGCACGCCCCCCAAGACAGTGTCAGACCGGTCGCCCCCCTCACTCCAATTTCGCGGCCATGATGAATTAGCCTGGCTCAGGAAAAACTAACCTGCTATGCTGCTAACTCATCGGTGCTGCCAGGCTAAAAAATAGCATGCTTTGTCTTGGCCTGATACCCCGGGCCAGGGCGATCTGGGTGGGGCCTGGAGCAGCGCGATGCCGATTGGCTTGCCCCAAGAGGCTCGACGCGGGCCGCTCTAGGACCGAGAAGAACCAGGGCCAGGAGCGGCCGCGACGCGCGGCCTCCGATTCTGGATGGGAAGTGTTGGCCGATTGGCCGCTGAAGGCCACTCACTTGTCGGCGGTCGATGCCTCCTCCTCCGCTGCCTCTTCCTCGGCGGCCTCGCGCTGTGCGTGAATGAGGAGGATCTGGCGCTGGCTGCGCGGTTACAGCTGCGCCTGCCTTTCCTCGCGGGGGCGAGGCCGCTTAGCGGGCAAGAGGAGGAGGGGCGAACGAAACGGGAAGGAGAAACTTATGATGAGGTGGACGGCGAACAGGGGGAGCACGAGGAATTC